GCGAGAAATTTCTATTTGAACAGTTACTTGTCTTTGCAAGTTGATTTAAAGATAAATCAAATTATTAATGATAGTTTTTCTTGGAAAGAGCTTGCTATGTGTTATATATTAATAAATACAACTTCAAATGGACGGGTGAAATGATCGTGATAGTTTACATGATGCAATTTAGTACAGTTTAAAAGTCCAAAAACAAGTTAAGGAAGAAGTATTGAATGAGGTCACGCTTGTTGAAGAGAGACAAGAGTTGTTCCTACAACCTCAGCATTGTTGAAACATAGATAACCTGCATCTTTGATGCAAGCATATTATACTACATTGATTAAATTGTTGGAAAAGACAGAACAAATGTAAGAGTTTCAACGCTGTGATGAAGGGATACAAGCGATGAAACTCACAAACCTGGTGAGCCCCACACCGTCCTACCAAGTTAAGGAGAGATGCTCTCCTGGGCATGCTACTGTTTGACTGGCGTACGAAGGTTGCTGTCAACTCCGTGTCCAAGGACCAGAGGCATGTGGATCATGCTGGTCCTTCTCTGCCGTAAGTGATATTTATCTCATTTTGTGATAGTTATGAAAAGTATGTAAGAAGAGCAAATTTTTACTTATTCATTAACAGCAGACAGTTAATTCAAGAAACACCAAGAAAGCCAGTGTCACATCTTTTTTTTTGTTGACCTTAGATGCTCTTACCCAAGATGCCACCCACAACAGTCTGTTAATGCTACGAAGCTGGAACAATTGATTACAGGAAACATATTCATGTTTACACTAATACAAATGGGTCGAACCAGATCTTAAGAAGTTACCAAAGATACAAGCACAAGTATCGCTATTGCAAGCCAACGGTGGACGGGAGGGAGATAAGGTAGGAGTAGTAGATAGATTCCTGGTTATCAACCAACTTTAAAAGATTAGTATAGATTGGTTTAGAGGACTGAAAAACTCAACGGAAATATGACTGAGTTTCGATAACATCCAGACAACATTGATTTTTCCTAAGTAATCTAAAGTTCCGGGTAATAACCACCACCACCACCGTCGTGGTGATCAACCGTATGGGTGACCACCGAGATAACCACCTGGTGACCACCGTGGTGACCACCCGTGAAACCACCGGTGTGACCACCGTGGTGACCACCGTTGTGACCCACCGTGATAACCACCGTGGTGACCACCGTGGTGACCACCGTGGCGAACCACGTGGTGACCACTTCGTGATAACCCACCGTGTGACCGAACCGTGTACCAACCGTGGTGGCCACAGTGGTGACCACCGTGATAACCACGTGTGGTGACCACCGTGGTGACCGACCGTGATAACCACCGTGGTGACCACTCGTGGTGACCACCGTGGTTGACCACGCGTGGTGACCACCGAGATAACCACCGTGGTGACCACCGTGGAGACCACGTAGTTGACCACCGTGTAGACCTACCGGTGAAAACACACCGTGGTGACACCGGATGTGACCACCGTGGCGACCACCGTGGTGACCACTTCGTGATAACCACCGAGGTGACCACGCGTGTGACCACCTGTGGTGTGCACACAGTGTGACCTACCGTGATAACCACGTTGTGACCACCGTGGTGACCACCGTGGTGGGCCACCGAGGTGACCAACGTGTGACCACCGTGATAACCACCGTGGTGACCACCATGGTTAACCAACGTGGTGACCATCTGTGGCGACCACCGTGGTGACCATCGTAGTTACGCACGCGTGTTGACCACCGTGATAAACACCGTGGTTGAACATCGTGGTGACCAACCATGGGACCATCGTGATAACCATCGTGGTGACTCATCCTGGTGACCATCGTGTGACCATCGTGGTGACCATCTGTTGGCCACTGTTTGACCGACATGATAACCATCGTGGTGTACCATCCTGGAGACAAAATCGTGGTGACCATCGTTGTGACCATCGTGTGGAGACCACTGGTGGTGAACCCATCGTGATAACCCATCGTGGTGGACCATCCTGGTGACAAAATCGTGGTACATCGTTGTAACCATCGTGGTGACCACTGAGGTGTACCAACGTGATACCCAACGTGTGTGACCATCTGGTGACCATCGCTGTGACCATCGTGGTGACCACTGTGTGATCCATCAAGATAACCATCCGTGGTGACCTCCTGGTTGACAAAATCGTGTTGACCATCGTTTGTGGCATCGTGGTGACCACTGTGTGACCAATCGTGAGATAACCATCTTGGTAGACTAACCTGGTGGACAAAATCGTGGAGACCATCGTTTGTGACCATCAGTTGGATGACCACTGTGGTGACCATCTGATAACCATCGTGTGACCATCCTGTGACGCAACGTTTGTTACCAGCGGGTGACCACTGTAGGTGACCATCGTGTTTACCATCCTGGTGAACCATCCCGGTGTGACAGGTCCCTGGTGAACTTTGGAATCTCTTTGCCAAACATCAAACCTTTACATATGTTTATACAATATATGTTTAAATTATTAAATTGTTTTT